TCTACCTACGTGACTTTACCGAAAGAACCAAAGAGTATACTGTACATGCATACTACATTGACAGGGATGTTAGGGAAATACATTTGCAATGATCAATATTTATAATTAAATCTTTAAAAACTGGATATTTTTCTGCAGTATTATAACTTAAAATAAAATCATTTTTCGAATATGTATTTCTACTAAACATGAAATAGGGTCTTGGGTCTCTCCTACATTGATTATATTTCTATAATGATTCCAAATATATGTTCCACGACTCGATGTGGAATGACTGAATATTAATCTGCATTTCAAACACATACCCAATGCAAACATAACACACATGCTGCACATCTGAGAACTGCAACAACTTTATATGCAGGAAAAAGTGCTCCAAATGACGTTGGCTGATCAGCGATAACCATCATCTTCAGTGGTTGGAGTCTTGAACGTTTGCATACTAACACATTGTGTCCCACTAATCACAAGGCCTTGCTTAGATCCCTGGGTTTGATCGCCCACGAAACTCATAGTCTGCCCTAAATCGCACAAATCATGGCAGATGCGTCTACCTTAGGGGCCGTCCATAAATGACGTCACGCACCTAGGTGGGGGGGGGGGGTCAGACATTTGTGACGATGTGTGACGAGAGGGGGGGGGTTGAGAAATGTGACGTCACATCAAAATGCGCAACTTTAAATAATATAGACAACACGTTCTACTTAATTTTTGATAAATGTTTTCTCCTACAACATCAGAGTGCCAGCGCCACATTAAACACGAACTACAATAACAACAGTTTAAAGCGATTTGAAGCATGCTTTTTTTTTTGGGGGGGGGGGGGCAAAGCTTTGTGACGTCATTTGAGGGGGGGGTCTGACTTTTTGGGACGCCGTGTGACGAAGTGGTTGGGGGGGACGGGGGGGGTAAAAAAAAATCGTCCAAAATTGCGTGACGTCATTTACGGACGGCCCCCTTTATGCACGAATGATTATTATTTTTAAACCCTCCAAGTAATTGTGCAACTGTGGTCATCCAGAAGCGACCGCACAGCGTACAACGACGCAATGCCCGAACCACAAACACGAAGGAGTAACGCACAGCGATACGCGAACTCCGCTGCTCTCGACGCGGTTATCTGGCTCGACTACCCGAATGTGAAATTGTAGTTGTTGCGCTGCCATCGACATCAGCCGCGGTTGCACCCGACTAAGAGCCGCGTGGCTCACTGGGCTATCTATATACCTAATAAATGAAACTTGAAAATTTTGAAACTTGAAACATCGCGCGCGAAGTGCATTCGCGTGCACCATCCAGCGGGTGGCGCACCATTCATTGTCGAGAAGCTCGCGACTTCAGGCGTTTTCTTAACGTAGGCAAATAGGTCACACGTTGCTCAAAGGTTACATTTTATCCTAGGTTTGAAGTTTTCGTGACTGCAATGAGCCATGCTCTTTGGTTCTGGGGCTGGGTGGGGAGGGTGGGAGGGGCTGGGTGGGGGGTGGGGTGAGGCTGGGTGTGGAGGGGCTGGTCACCCCGTAGTGCCCTTATAAAACTCAACGTTTAACCTACTTCACGCAGGCTTGTGCCCGCCCTCACAGTCGGGCATATTTGCGGAATACACCACGTGGTGTTGCCGTTGACCCTGGTCATTGACCGAGCAACCCAACGTTCCTACCAGCTCCCTCCGCAGGAGAAAGTGTTTTATAAAAACAAGTGATATGGAGACCATTGACCGCTTATGAGCAAGTGACAGGAGTGGATGGGTAATCAATCAACCCTCCGATTAGCACGGTTGGCTACGTACGGTTCCAACTTACAATAATACATTATCAAGCAGTGAGAAAGAAACTGGGTACCACCCCCCCTCCAGATGTGAACATAGCATTCTAACTTTTAACACATCTGTGCGTTATGGGGTGTAATAATTGCGTAGAGTTAAATAAACCTTTGGTACCGAAAGAAAAAAACGTTTATTTTATGCCGCCTTCGATTAATAATAAAGCCGTTTCATGATAGCAAACTATAACACATTCTATGCATGGCAGTCGCACCATGCAGGTGCTACCCAGGCTCAAACCTGCTTAGCTTCCAAGGTGCGACAAGAGATCGGGCACGTTCTGTGCGGTTTGGTCCTTTGCATGTTGTACACGCGCTTTACAACGGCGAGGCTTTATGCATGTCGAACGTATTTCGCACCGCACGTAGCCAACCGTGCAAATTGGGAGGCGCGGGGGAAGGACAACGAACTAAACACAAAAAGTCAGTTCTGCAGGAGAAATGCAGAGCTGCAGGAGAAACGCGTGGCCCTTAAGAGGACGGACGTCGTCCGGCACCGTGAGCACATTGATGTGACGGTGGCCTCTAATAAAACGACGAACACGATCTCTCCCGGTCATTGTAAGCCCCCCGCCTCTTCCACCCGCCAGGAGCCCCCCGGAGGCTCACACTCTTTAACACAATCTGCTGCATGAAGGGGATTATTTTTAGAGGTAATCGTGATCAGCGGTGATTTCACATTCACAAAAAAATCTGTTAATTAGTCCAACTTGGCAATTATTTCCCATTAGCATTAACTTAAACAAACATGGAGTTATTTTCATGATAAACACACAATGGGTGGGGGCCTACTATAATAACTATAGAATCCTGATTTCATGCATTTAGTTTTCAACAGAGCAAGCCTACAATTATTTTACAGTACTGTACTAGATTTCCTATTTTGGTCAATCTAGAGACCATGGGAAAGTGAGAATGAGGTTGGGCATTTGTACAACACAACACGCCTGCAAGCAGACATGCACCTTATATATCACCTTTAGGCAGAAAGCCCCTTAAATACAGTGCGACAACAAACTTGTGGTTTGTCCAGAATTTTTAGTAGTCCAGCGCACCTTTTGGCAGATGGAGAAATGGGCGTGGTAGTGATAACATCCGGTAAGAGCGCCGCGATAGCAAAATGTCAACTCCCATGCCTGGTATGCAGAAGGTCGTGGGTTCAATCACAACCCCGATGCCTGTATATTTGGAGTTTTCATGTTCTCCCCGTGGTCACATGGGGGTTTTTTTCCCCCCCGGTGCTCTGGTTTTTCCCCTCCACTATTAGAAACATGCGTTTAGAGTATGTGGCTGCTACACATTTCCACAAGCCACTTCGTCGAGCTATTTGTGGCCAGATCGCTTATGCAAAAAGAGCGATTTATTTCGCTCAGTGGGCCTTACCTGGTAAAATAAAAAAAAATAGTTTAGTTAATCCACCAGTAGCTCCGTGATCGAGTTAATGGGTCACCTCAAAGGAGAGTTCTCAACTGCTGGTTCTGGCTTGAGGATGTGCAAGCCTCACCGACTGGACAAGGAGCTTGTACCTCAACAAGAATGTTTGACATGGCTTGTCTAGTGGGAGAGTAAAGGAGAGCCGACACAAGGTTGCAAGGGGGTTCCGACTTTCATTCCTTCCTTCAGTCCACACTCGTCCCCAGCCTTCTCAATCTGTTTCCCGCTAAAATCTCCCCTCTTCCCGCCGGTTCTCTCCATCTCCTCGCTTTCTCCTCCCCCTTCCCCTGTCACAGTCCCACTCCCCTTCCTTTTGGTGGGAATCCTTCCTCCGACATCCCTTACATCAGTATGATTGTTCTCATGGGATTTCTCTGTGCACTTGTTTTGGTTTGCATACCCCCAAAATATTGGTAAAGCAACAAGCTTTTCAATGCACGCATTTATTTGCACTCAAAAGTAGAAGAAACATTCTTATTATATTTGGTGTGCTCAATAAAAGTGGGTGGCTTGCATAAAGAAAATTAAACATCAGAATGGAAGCCACCCACTTTTATAAAGCACAAATTTGATTAATTCTGGGGTCAAAATTATGTATTTTCTACTTGAGTGCAAATAAAAGCGTGTGGATTAAAAAGCTAGTTTTTTCACATCATTGTTTTTAAGTACAATACTTGCTCTCGCACTTAGAGAGGAAACACAGCGGCCGCTCCGGCGTCTTGACAATCGGTGATAAGCGCTCCTTTCATTGGTCGGACTGGCCAGGAACAGCCACTGTGATTGGACCAGACGTTTGCCGTGGTAGATGGGCGCAGCCATTCGTGATAAAAAAAAATTTGAACACGAATAGGACCACAATTGACAGGACCTGGACCGTTTTAAAAAAAATCTTGAATTGTCACACGAGGTGAGTCTGTAGAAAAATGTCAGCTCGTTAGGCTTCGTAGATCCGGTATATAAACAAAACACGGCAAGTTCAATACGTGTATAATAAAGAGAAAAATCTGGTAAAACAGCCCATAGGACACTCCTAAAAAGGTATTAAACTAAATAAGTTTAATTAAGGAATCTTTAATTTTGAGATTTTCAGAGCAAACATTGTGAAAAATAGGCAAATTATCAAAGTTAAAATTCGACCTAAACTTGGAACGTCAAACCCAACCTGGTTGAGCATTGTCCACAAACCGTTATGACTATCACCGAGATCCTCAGTTCGGATATAGATTACAACCTTGTGATTACACTGGGTTATCAAATCAACCGCTGAGGAGTTGGTTTGTCCAGTCACTACATACGCCACACAAAAACCCTTCAATGTTAACATTCGTCAGTCATTAATACATATTCCAGCCGTAATGTCTGTTGCAAATACTTTAGGAATACATTTGGCAGGTGGTGCACAAGGGTAAATGACAAAAACTTGCATTCGTCGATAACACTTTCTTAACAGGAGAAAATGTGACGTTTCAGGCAATGGCTCTAATTCATAGCACATGTAGAGTTCTGATTACTCTCATTCAATCATCATGAAGCGGAACACTGTTTGGAGGGCATGTTTAAAATGGGCCACTTAATGTGGGTGTGCAGTAACCCCAGAAAATGCGACATCTTCTGGGTACTGCTCTGAGACCACGCGACTTTACATTGCTGAGATTTCCAAATATAAAATATCTCAGTCTTATATGAAACACAGCACACTTGTAATTAAGCACTGGGCAGAACATATACACCATCCAAAGACAACAGCAGATTACCAAATTCATTTTATTTTAAATTTCACATACAGCCTCAAATGCTTAAGATGTATACTCCATCAATAAAATGAAATCTCAGCCCAAACACAATTGTTCATAAGTCCAGGTGTTAATTTGAGACTTGTCTCATCCATAATCTGCACCAGTCAGCTGTGCATAAATGTCTACAGCCAAAACTCCTATCACGGAGGTTACAACAGCATTTTATTCAAATTGAATTTACAGCAAATATCAGATAAACTCCTGTCTTAAGACACCTTCACATGTACCTCTTTAGTAAGCCTTTCTACCTTCCACAGTTAAGAGTTTTGTTATTTAAGCATCGTTTTTTTTCAACGGCTTTATTTAATTTTAAAGCTCCTTCAATTGTTCTCGCAGCAGAAGCTTGTTGGTGCCATATGAAGAGAATAAATCATGGTCTTTATTGGAAAAATAAGCAAAAATAATTAAAATGAAGGCAATCTGCTGAGTTTACTCGTTACATTTACATCAGATCCTTTAACGTCTTCTCCAGGTGATCCTTATTGGCACCCATCACCTCCCCTACCTGTTCAATGAGAGATGGAGGGGGGGAAAAAAAACAGGTTAGGCACCGTCACAAGCACCCTCAAAAGCTATTATTAACAGAACCTTGTAGCAGACTGATAATGGATACATACAGATGTTAAGAGTAATGCGAACGTAAAATGAAAATTATTTTATTATTAAAAAAGAGCAACCCAGACACCAAACGTTGCATCATATGGAGGTTATGGGTTCGATCCCAACCCTGATGCCTGTATATGTGGAGTTTGCATGTTCTCCGTGGTCGTAGTCTTTTCTCCAGGTCCTCAGGTTTTTCCCCTCCACATTTAGAAAGGTGCATTGCGAGTATTTGGCTGCTATACATTTCCACATAAGCCACTTCGTTGAGCTATCATTTGTGGTCAGGTCAACTTTGGTTTCTGTAGGTATGTAGCGAGGCTATATGTCCTGGGCTGTCCAACACAACTCTAAAGATTCGTGATAATAAAGGCTAGTTATATTATATTCTTGGTTCTTTCGGTAAAGTCACGTTGAAGGGAAACAATAAAATAATATATAAAACAATAAAATTATCACGACGTTTCGACTGTAACACAAACAGTCATCATCAGGTGAACAGCCCTGGGACAGCGAACTTTGCTATGTCTGTTCCACCTGAAGACGGAGGCTTGTGTTGCCTCCGAAACGTCGTGATTTGATTTGGTTGTTTTCTTTTGTTTTGCCTGCGTGACTTTACCGAAAGAACCAAAGAGTATGAATCCTTGCAGTCACGAAAGCTTCAAATCTAGAATTATAAAAGCCAAGGTACGCATTTACGAGAGGGAGCAGCAATTTATGTCAGGAGTTGTCTTCCTTCAAAAGAAAAAAACAAAACAGTGCCTCTACACAGCCTCGATATAGAATGCAAAGTGCCAGCATAAAAGTTTTAGTGCATACTTAATATGTCCATCTGGCCAGGTGGCGTTGTTTATAAACCAATAAAATCAGTTTTAAGTTTGTGAGATCTTTAAAAAAGAGACACAGATCAGTCTTTGACAAGATCTAGTGGCAAAAGACTGAGAGACTAGTCTTTAAGTGTCTTTGTATGCATGTAGAACTTGTTTTGCACCTACATAGCTAAATGTGCGGGGGAAGGACAAACTCAACAGAAAAAAGCAGTTCTAAAGAAATGAGTTTTCAATCTAGATGGAAAAGTGCATAGCTCCAGTGGCTTCCTAATATTGGAACGGCATTCCAGACGGCCGCAGAAAAATCTGAAGGCGCGCGATGCAGTGACCGTCCTTGTTTGACGACTAGCCAAAAGCTGCTGCAAGGATGACCGGAGCTTGCAATGTAATGGTTCATGTTTCTTGACGAGACCAGCAAGGTATTGAAACAATAGACCGATCCAGCCTTTGGATCGTCTCTAGACAATCGTCTCTAGACAATCCAAATTTACGAAAAAAAAAACAGATGCATAATTCCACTCACCTTTTCGTTGTTTTTGAAGAAAATGAATGTGGGCATTGCCTTGATGTTACACAACTCGGCAATATCCTGCACACAAGTGACATAGGGAAAAAAAACGTTTCTACTTAACCGAGAGCTCTATTACGTTAGTCCAGTGCTGTTGTCAGACGACTCCACTCACAATAAAAAAATGGGTTGTCCACACATTCTCAATAGAAGAGTTGACTTAGCACCTTTTGAGGAAGACAGCGAAAACATTTCCTGCCACACAAAATGTGGAACTTCTACGATATGCTCAGGGCCTCTAACGGAGGAAAAATAACCATATCGGACATGCCGAGTTTGGCAATTAAAACTGCAATCCAAAAAACGATCATCCGTTGTTACTTTAATGTCCAAACATTGTCAAGCCACATACATGCAGCAGTTGAAATTGTATTTCATAAAACGAACAAAGCCAACCTACAAATCTCATATCCCAGTTCCCAGCTACAAGCCGACTTAAGGAGATTGTACTTTTATACACCAGTGTTTTCCATCAGTCTGTGTTTTGTATGACAGGTCCCCCCCTTACAAAAGAGATTGTTTCATGTCTTAGAGGGCTCTCGCTTTAAAAGCCATTTCATATATTAAGTATGTGCAATATCATATATGTACTGTACATAAACACTGGGTGGACTGTTTGTATAACATAGGCACTGTATGCATGCACTAGATGCATGTGCTGTACCACTTGTAGGTGCTGAACACATGTACGTATATGTACATGTGCTACATGTACTGTATGGCTATACGGTATAGGTGTGCTATTTGCATGCTAGGTGTGCTGTACTATATGCACATGCTATACGTGCTGTGTGCGTTCTGCATACAGGGGGTTTGAGCAGTGCGCGTAAAAAAAGGTGCTCGATGGTTCTGCACGTCTGGGCTCCCGTGAATGCCCTGGTCCGTCGCGAGCGAGCCGACCGCTGGACCTGAAATCTAGGTGACCCCCCGCCCTCACCCCCTTGCACCACGCAGTTTAAATCGACTGCACGAACCGCACAGACGGCGGGAGATGCTCACCGGAGCGTCGTCCACGTCCACCACGCAGAACACTACGTTGTGGTACTCATTTGCAAAGGCCTAAAGAGAAGTGGGGGAGGGGGGGGGAGACACGAGTGAGGGTTTTTTCAATCGCATGGAGGAAGTTTAAGCAGCTCCCATAACCCAATTGTGTGAATACATTGCTAACAGGAATGTAAATTCAAAACCCCTCCACACATATGCAATTCAATCGAATCGTCACGATACTGGGGGAGGGTCACAATTTAAATAAACAACTTTTATACCAGCTTGAAAACGTTCACGCAATGAGCTCTTTCCATCCGTCATCTTCATGTAGAAGATTCAATGTGAATGAAACGGAAAACTGGCCACATTTATAAAACGAGTTGCCTCCCCAACCAGAGGCAAAAGGACCTGCCTCAACATCCTTGCCCTGTCGGCCAAAGATACTCCCTCTCCCAGGCAGAGCCGCTTATTTAAGCCCCATGGTCTCATTGCGTGCTACGGATGCAATGCATCTTGTGCACCTGGTTCGAGCAATGGCGGAGCCAGGATTTAACAGGTAGGGGGGGGGGGGGGGCAACCCCTCCAGCAATGAAAAATTATAGGAGTTGTTAGTAAGTAAGGACTTGTCCCTTGCTTTTTGATTCGACACATGTGCGGCGATGGCGCTGCCATCGATCGAGGGTAGAATTCGAACCGCGTTGTGTGATCGGCATCGCGCTCGCTGAAGGTGAATGCCTTCAGGGAAGTCGTGGACTCTGTATACGCAACTGCGCACAATTCTGTGAGTCGCTTATAACCGCTTTGCCGTGACTTATTGCCAATTATGGACTCAGACTATTGTCCTATCATCTCATAGAGTCCCTGACAAGTAATAATATGCTACACAGTGGCAGCGGGGGGGGGGGGGGGGGGTCGCAAAATGTCGATTTATTACTAATTAGCTTTACTGCCCGGCTTCGCCCGGGATTCACCACGCCTGGCCACCTTTGTCCCCTCAGTGGCGATGTTCACACACCACACGAGTTATTCGTTTGACATCACAGATGTGACGTCACCGCTCACTTTCCGTGCAATATATAATATTCATTATTGTACCCTCTCCCCCCCAAAATACAAAAGTTCATTTTTATACTTTCTGTATTGTGTACAGTCTGAAAACTACCCACGTGCCAAATTTCAAGTTTGTTGCATGTTGGAAAGTATGCTAAACATTTCGAACAGACATACATATTCACAAATTTCCCCTTTTTATATATATATAAACCCCAATGATCCGATCGAAATTAGGGATTTCGATTGGATAATTGGGGGGGCACTTGCCACTCCACCCCCCCACTGGCTCCGCATCCACTGGCTCTGCCAGTGAGTGCGAGCAGTATCATTATTACCGCCGATTAAACGAATGTTGGAAACCATTTTGAGAATAAAAAAGCACGCAGGGTGTGTCTTCCTTGTTCCGTCTCGCTTTTATCGATTTCGTTAGCTCCATTAATTTATTTACAAGTTGTACGAATCGTACATAATCAATTCTCACCCCGTACAATTTAATGCATACATCCTGAATGAAAGATTTTTTTTTATATCTATAATCGATGCATTGTTACATGCCAATTGCAGCTGCACGTGTGCAACAACCTATTTGTACCTCAGCCTTAACCATAGTAGAGGCAATGCTATGCCTTCAGGATTACACAAAATAAAATCAGAATGTATACTGGAGGAATCCGATGAGCTATAAAGCTCTTTCATGAGTGTCCAGCAGGGGCAGGTCAGAACGTTACAACGAACATTCCAAAAAGACGATAGGCGTGGAAAGTATTGTAAGTGTAATGAGAGAGCACCGACGGGCGACGGAGGGCTGCATAGGCACCGATGCATCAGTCGTAGCCAATCAGAGCTAACGGTACCATCTGGGCCAAAGTTAATGGGCGGAGCTTGTGGGTATATGCGGGAACCAATCGGGAAGGTTCTGAGGGGAGGGGGGGCGTGGTTAGAGGCGGAGCTTGGCTCCACCGAAAGGGCTATAAGGAGAGGCAGGGGGAGGGACTCGAGGTCGGAGTGGGAGCCTGGAGTCCGGACTGCATCTCCGCCATCTCGTCACGCCACCGGCCACGTGGGCCGAAGCCCTCCCCCTCTCTCATTGCGCGCCGTCAACGAGCGGTGCGCGGGAGAGAGAGCGAGGGAAGCCGCGAGGCAGTGAGCACGCGCATGCGGAGCGAGAGAGCTAGGGTGACCATCTAGAAAGGGAGTGCGAAGTCGGGCAGTCATCACTAAATAAAGGACGCAAGTCACCACCTGTGGTGGAAGTCGTTTATTACGACTGGAGTCAGAAGAGGTTATTTTTGGAGACAAGAAAACACAACAGAGTGCGAAGATGTCCAAGCATCTCAACAAAAATCGCTAATGAAAATATAAAACAACTTTTTTTTTATCTTACCAGGTAAAGTCCACCGAGCTATTGACTTCTTTTTCAGAAGCAAACTGGCCACAAATGATAGCTCAAGGGAGTGACTTATATGGACATTTAGAGCGGCAAAATAATCTAACACTGGTCAAGTAGCCTAACGTGGTGATTATGAACCCCCATAAGACACACCCATGCCCCACGGCTCAAACTCCAGATGCACAAAACCTGATGTGGAAGTTGCCCTAATCATTTATGGTGGAAGAAGTTCAGTGTTATTTTGTGGAAAAAACATATTTTTGTAGTAGTTAAGTGTCTGATCGTAGATAAAACTTGTAAAAAGAAAAATCATATCAGGTTAATTATTGTATTTATTTAAAACTTTTGCCTGGCAAAAACAGGCTTTATAAACTAGCCAATAACATTGCGGCCAAATGTGGAATCTGAAGTCCCAGAGCTGAATTCTAGTTTTGGGCATCTGACACAGCCATTATATGAACCTCCTGACGAACAGAAACATGACAAAAGCTTCTTTGGTTCTTTCGGTAAAGTCACGTAGAATGAGAATAAAATAATAAATTAATAAAATAACACAATTAAATTCTCACGACGTTTTGGCCACAACACAAGTGGCCTTCAGGTGAAAGGAACAGACCTATCGGGACGACAGCTTCAATCAAAGTTAAGATTCATAGCATCTTTTAAGCTGGTTTAGAGAAGTGAGGCACCTTGACAAAGGGGTTTACATATCAAACAGGATAATTTAGCATTGAAATAGCTGAGTGATTAGCTTGTGACTCGTCATGATTTTAACATGGCTATTTCTATGACCAGTCACAAGCTAATCACTCAGCTATTTCAATGCTAAATTCTCCTGTTTTATATGTAAACCCCTTTGTCAAGGTGCCTCACTTCTCTAAACCAGCTTAAAAGACACTACAAATCTTAACAACGTTCATTGAAGCTCTGTCGTCCCGACAGGTCTGTTCCTTTCACCTGAAGAAGGCCACTTGCGTTGTGGCCGAAACGTCGTGAGAATTTTATTGTGTTATTAATTTTATTAATTTATTATTTTATTCTCATTCTACGTGACTTTACCGAAAGAAACAAAGAAGATGAATCCTTGCAGTCACGAAAGCTTTAAATTGAAAAATATGACAAAAGCTTTAACCCATGACCTCAGAAGATGCTGGATTAGTTGCCCAACATTGTTGAGCCCCTTCATGGAGACCACCCTCAAATGTGTTAATTATTCTAAAAGCCAAAATGTACACTCACATGAAAGATTGGAGAGATGATCTTGCACGGACCACACCATGTGGCCGAGAAATCGATTACGACCAACTTGTGCTTGTTCTGCTCCAGAACCTGTTTGTACTCCTCCTGTAAAAAGATAAAAAGAGCAGCCGATCAATCAGGTCCACCAGGCAGCCGGCCTATTTGGAGCACTTGGGTGTTCATTAGGAGCTCAACTTTGTATGCTTGTTACAGAGGATTGCGACCTATGTTGATAGCAGAAGTCAAAATTTGGGACTTCTTGCAGCCAAATGTTTGCAGGCACTGCCTTTCCACCTACATCTGAAAGATCCTTATAGTAGGGATGTAATATGTACTCCCCTCCTCGACACAATGAATTGTTAGAATTGAAGGTCATGATTCAATAGGTATTGGAAAAGACAATCTCATGTCTTTTCCCATACCAAGGTTCTTTGTAAACCGACAGGTTATCACCAAAGATTTGTCCACGAAACCATTCAGATATACAAACACAGGCGTAATTTCAACCGAGAGGATGGTTTCAAATTAAGCAACCACTGGAAAAACGTTTTGAATCATACCCAATGCTAACTAATTTCTAACAGCAATTTCAAGCAGTGGTATACCAAACATATTCTTTCCGAACTTTTCTATTTTCTTTTTTTCTACTGCTCCCTTACAGCACATCCTGGCCGATACTCTTTCCGTTTATATTGCACACACACAGTGACCCATCTCCCGCACCCTCCACACAACAAAAGGCGGATTAACTCATCCCCACACACACACAGCGACCCATCCCCCGCACCCTCTACACAACAAATACAAACACAGGCATTACTTCAACCGAGAGGATGGTTTCGAATTAAGCAACTACTGAAGAGACGTTTTAAATCATACCAAACGCTAATTTCTAACAGCAATTTCAAGCAGTGGTATACCGAACATATTATTGCCGAACTTTTCTATTTTCCTTTTTTCTACTGCCTCCCCTTACAGCACAGCCTGGCAGAGCCTCTTTCCGTTCATATTGCACACACAGTGACCCATCCCCCGCACCCTCTACACAACAAAAGACGGATTAACTCAGCTCCGCACCCCACTAAAGTCGCCTACATGGCCCCTCCCACACGCCCCCCCCTACCTTAACCTGTATTTAAGCGCGAGGTTCCCAGAGCCTCGCCACTTGGTGCAGCGATTTTGGCTGTGACTGGTCCCACCTGAAGACAGAAGCTTGCGTTGCCTCCGAAACGTCGTGTTTTAATTGTTTATTTTATTTTTATTTGTTTTACCTACGTGACTAAGAGTATGAATCCTTGCAGTCACGAAAGCTTCAAATGTATGTACATCATTTGTAATGTGAACGAAGTCCATTATTTATACATGAAAAGATACTCTTTCAGAAAGGTCCATTGTGCAACTTCATCAATGATTATAAAGAGAGTGTCAGTGGAACTTGGAAAAAACCCATACATACTATAAATATAAAACGAGAATTGTTTTATTTTACCAGGCAACACCCACCGAGCTATATGCAGTAAGCTCTTTCATCAGAAGCGACCTGGCCACAAATGATAGCTCAACGAAGTGGCTTATCATCTGGAAATTTATTGCAGCCAAATACTCGAAAACAGACGTTTCTAAATGGGGAGGGAAAACCAGGAGGAACCGGGAGAGAAAAAACCCACACGACCATGGGGAGAACATGCAAACCCCTAATATGCAGGCGCCAGGGTTGGGATAGAACCCACGACCTCCAGTATACCAGGCGAGGAAGTTAATATCTCACCAGCGGAGTAGAAAGTGGTAACATTCAAAAACTGTGCAAGCTTCACCTGTCTCACAACCTCCTGGCCAACTCGGCCCTTCTGCTCAATCTAAAAAAAACATGTCAGTACATAACGCTCATGCGTTACAAAACCACCCTTACGATTCAGCTGTGCATAACCTACATCACTGCTGTGCATAATATCCCTTTGTATACATAACATTCCTGTTCTACACCAGCTCCCCTGTGTCTCTGTACATAAAACACCTGCTGTATTGCAATTAGATTGCAAACCTCGTACGTGAATTTTAGTGTCACCACCGTCAAATATTAACATTTGGCGGCTATACAAATGTCAAAATCAATTTGGAGGCAGGACAACAGAAAATCATTCACAAAATGAAAATTAGCCTTGATCACAAACCCCCACAGCTGTCCCAAATATAAGTCACAATGCAACATATCATTGCATGTTCATAAATGGCGGTAAACAAATGGGCTCCCGTACACAAATACCTCCCATATAACCTACACAGGCCGTGCTGTAAGGAAACACCCATAAAGGCCAGAAGTGTATGGAGGGGGTGGTGGAGCCAATATTACTCAAGCGCAAATATTTACACACTGCACCGGGTATTCAATCTTAAGGCAGAGTAAGCCTCAGGGGAGGCCCAGCACCAATTCAGATGTTAGTCACTAATGTTGACCGACTAAGCGCCCAGTGCGGAGATGTTAACTCCCTCGCCTGGTATACAGGAGATCGTGGGTTCGATCCCGACCCCGACTCCTGTATACAGGTAGTCCTCTACTTGCGATGGAGATGCGTTACAACGACCCCATCGCAAGTCAAAAATATCGTAAGTCGAAGAAGGCCTAGCCTACCCAGGAGTCTTAAAGAATGGTGATAATTTAGCAAAACAGAGCAATTTACAGTACCGTACTGTATAAACTATACACTGTAGGCATTTATTAATTACAATACTGTATTGCACAGTAAAATGTAAAGTAAAAAAAACAAGGTAAATACTTAGCCTACCTATATGAACTGCAATTTAATAGAAGGGCGGGAGATGCGTACATCCCGCCAGCGGTCCAACGTACAATATCGTACCTCGTACGCTGCTGCGTTTGCCTGCCGCGCAAAATTTAAAATATTTTACAATTTTGTCGTATCGCTATCGCCATCGTAAGTCGGACCATATCTGTATTTGGAGTTTGTATGTTCGTATGTTCTCTCCCCGTGGTCACGTAGATTTTTATCCGTGTCCTGCTATTCCCTCCATATTTGGCAACATGCGTTTAGAGCGTTTAGCTGGTATATATTTCCACATAAGCCACTTTGTGGCCAGGTCGCTTCTGAAAAACAGTTATATAGCACAGTGGGTCTTACACGGTAAAATAAATCGTTTCAATAGTTTTAGTTTTGACTCAGATCGCCGGATTTGCAATGCAGTGTGCTAACCATTGCAGCAGTGTGGGAAGTGTGATGACACAGGAATCATATTCCCTAGAGACACCCAGCCATTTGTTTTTTAACCAACAAGCGTCTGACGCTGTGGGATCGGTTAATTACAGGGTTAATCAGATGCTCCCATCATCACGGAAAACGCAACGTCACGGCGCGATGCAATTACTTGCATTTCCCTGGCACGGGAAGTGCTGGACGAGATGGTGGTAAAACAACAACCCCAGCGTTAACACACACAAAAATGGCACGCTCCATTTGGTTCTTCGCAGCATTCGCAATAATAGAAACACTAATGTGTTGCCCCGTTTAACTCAAGAAGCATGTCCACCTATATGCTGAAGCGGTCTCAGAAAGGGCTGGGCATCGCCCTCTGTCGTCTGGGCATAATAAGAGCGGCCATTTCTGGGGTGTGGGTTGGTAATGGCCCGGCGATTGAGTGTCTTTTCAGGGGACTGATGTTCTCACGTGAAAACAATGAATCATCACCACTTAAGGTTCTGAATTTTAACCCTGAAGCCGTTTTACTATTACTCAATCAAGGAACAGACTTCGTTGGAAAGACAGCGAGCCTGCATGTTGATGTTTTCCCCATATTTGACAGTCAACTAATGTACAATTTTTCTTAAGAAGAAAAAAAGTGTAGTGTGTCTGCTTAGTGAACTTATGGAATCAATTGTGTCAATTAAAAATAACGAATTGTTCGAGTGCCCCTGCGAATATCTTAACACGTCAGGAAATAGCAATGTTTACGGTGTCAAGAATGCTCGATTTTAGACTGGTTCAACCTACGCACTGTACTGATTTGGTTAAAAAAAAATCACTCATGGAATGCATTTTACACCACAGCAAAAAAAAAGCAAATTCTTAAAATACCAGAGTTTAACCACAACAGCCAACTCTAACTGGAAGTACATGTATTTATCCAGTCTATGGCCTGTGCACTCAACACTGAACCATTTTTTCTCGTAATTGTAGTCTCGCTAAAATAGCTCCAAGCTGGTAAGATTAAATAAATTGCCTGACCGACTGCAACAGTTGACAGTACGTACTGTATTGTCCAGATACATAATTTTCATCCTACAAAGCATTCATCCCAATGTAGGGCACTCCTGAAAAACAGTCGTGAGCCTTTGTAAGGACTGTCAGCCTCTTGTAATCCAATGCTAGATTAAAGTATCCTGCTGTTGCATAGCTCTCCATGCTGGTCACAGTAGGTTTGAGGAGGACACCCCAGTACTAGTTCAGCTTTAATTCGCCATTGATGTTAGCCATGGTATGGAATCAACCTCTGGTTAACGAGTTCACAGTACCGGAAGACCATCTCTTTGCACTACCCCGTTTGAATGTGTTTCGTGGATAAACTTTTTTACTAAAACAATTAAGAAAATCTAAAAAGTGCTTATGAATGAGAGCGCAGTCCTGAGAAAATGCACACACACCACCATTTGTGTGCATTCGCTCAGGCAATAAGAGCGATGTACACTCAAGGTCTATTTAAAAAAAATATATACATTTGACTAATTAAGGCCCCACAGCTTCGTAGCTCTTTTTCAGAAGCAACCTGGCCATAGCAAATGATAGCGCAAAACAAGTGGCTTATCGGCATGTGGAAATTCAAATTGCAGCCAAACCAACTGCATGCTTCTAAATGTGGGAGGGGAAAAACCTGAGGAACCGGAGAAAAATGCACACGACCAAGGGGAGAGAGACAAGCAAACTCCAAATATTCAGCGGGCGTCAGGGTCAAACCCACGACTTCCTGTATACCAGGCGAGGGAGTTAACATTGCTACTGCGGCGTAAGCCAAGCAGAACTCGCCATATAAAACAAAAGCACCCACCAATGTGTGTTTACTCGTCCGTGGTCTCCCCCTGTGCCTTATTTTCACGT